GGGCTACTGATGGCAATGATGGAAGAAAACGTGCAGCAAATCACCCATTGGCATAATCTTCAATTAAGGGTACTGTCGTGGCTAATGTTACTGAAGCTACTATTTAATTTAACTATTAATAAAACTCCTTTCTATAATTGACTCAGTTCCAGCTAGCTGTGGCAAAGAGGGCTATTCTTCAACTGACTTATCTAAAGATCTACAAAGAACAGAAGCATCATTTCCATCCTCTCAGATTTATCATTATCAGCAGCACAATCTCACTCAGAGTACCTCACTTTGAAAAATGTACTTGAAACCTGCTGTAACATATACATCTATCCCGCTACTTTCACCTTAAAGAAAAAAAAAAAAGGATCACTAGGAAAACCAACATGTTGGATTACATACTTCAAAGCTTCCATTTTTTTCTCTCCATTTACACTTTAAATTTCCCTTCCTTCAGTTATCTTCTGCCAGCTCTAATCAATCACTAAATACCCAGGAAACAAACGGGGTACTGCTTATTATCAAACACGTCCACCCTTTACAATACTAACAACAACAACAACAAAGCCTGAGTCTCACCACAGTTGCAAAGATTTGCTTCCCAAACTGCTAGCAACCACGTGGCCGGTGGAGCCAGTCCTGCTACCAGCAGCCCACAACCCACCGGCTGCCTTGGCTGAAGAACGGCAGCTCCTGGGAGAGCTGGGAGGGGTCTGCTGGGACGCAGAAACCTCGGAGCCCTGTTCTGGGCCAGCTCTCTACATATGAATCCTGATTACAACTCGTAACAGACTGTGATGGTGTGCGCTCAGGTACACCTGCATTGTGCATATGGCAAAACAACCGACTGCCATTACTAATCTTCATTCTGTAATCTCAGTTTTGTCAGGACACTGTGTACTCCCCCTGTGACAAGTCTGCATAACTCTGCTGTACAACACACAAATTCAGCCCTGAAATAACCCTGCAAGGACACGCACACCTGCACACTCTATGCTCAGGTTGCACTGAAGTAAAATTCTGCAACTGTATTCCGAGTTAAAATACACCTGGGCACCAAGCAGTTCAAATTTAAGGTTTTTGATCCAAATCAGGACCATACCCAGCGTACTCAACATGGCACACCACACTGCTCCGGGGCAGACCCGCTGCTTGTGGGGTGCTGGAGATGGAACAGACCTCAACGTACCACAAGACTCGGCTGCTTCTGTGCGGGCTGGACCCCCTGAACACGTCCTCTGCTCCTAAAGCCAAGGTACCTGCAGGACTTGAGAGGGTGTGAAGACCCGTGAGGTCTCTCCATCCCTTGCGTGCACCCTATTGAAGCCAGTGGTTAATTGTTCACTCAAATATCCCCTACACAGGCACAAAGACTACTGAAGCTTATTCCTGTGTGAAGTCTCAGGAGTCCAAACAAAACAACACATTTTTACTGCATGACCCAAAGACCACAACTCCAAGGTTCTTTGTACTGTGTCCCCTCCGGGCCAGTCCACCATTACAGGGCAGTGCTGAACCCACGCGCCTCCCTGAGCACCAGGCAGCAAGGGGACTGCGGCTCTTGCTTCGAATAAACATCACTGATGAGCAAATACCTTCTCGGGGACATAGGAAACCAAAAATCAATTACATTCTCGTCCTGAAGTACCCAGGGTGTCTTGCATGCAAGTGAATCCCTCCATGTTTAACTAATGTCCAGTCACTGGAAATTGGCTTTTGATGGCAAATACAAGGACTCCGAGCATTTTAAGGTGA